CGTTATGGAAGAAATTGTCACGAACATCTCCCACAACAGACTGGCGTGGCTTGTCAAGACACTGAGAAAAAGTAACAGAAAAAAGTGGACGCAGTTTGGCATCTAAATGGCATCAAGCTCCAGATCAAGCTGAACATTTGCAAAATAAGACTGCATGGTTCAATCCATTATAGAGATGTGAGACCTGGGGAACACACTCAGCCTCTGCCTCCATTTCATTAGCAGCCTCTGTGAGTCATACCTAACATCAAATGGCAAAGCTTGGCTATCAATTAAGATGTTCTGAAAGGCAGTCAATACCCTGGCTTGAAGTCAGGGTTACTGCAACTCATATTCTTTGGGTTTAAATACATCCCCACACACAGCACAGACATGTGCACACACTTGCAAGCTCACGCACCAGAATCTAAATCACGTTACATGATGCACGGAAAAGGCACACCTATGGGAAAAAGAGACCAAGGCTATCCTTTGTGACCCCTGAGAAAAACAATTTTAAATAACATGGGAAGATGTCCACTGACAACTGCTAGGAAAACCCAGTGAAGGACAAAGATTCCCCTGGCCTGAAGAGCTCACTGAGATACAAATCCACACACAGAAAAAAAGCTGCACATTGAAAAAAACTGTCACAGGGTCACAGATATAGAGAGTTTGACTATTCTAATCATCCAATCTAATTGTCACAGGGTTGAGCTCATCAATTGTTACAGAAATGATTGTGAGGGGTGCTGAAAATGCCAGATGAGCTCCACGGTGGCTGACTCAGCCTCTTCAAATGTGACAGACAAAATACCAGGCCACCCATAAGGCAAACAGCAGTGCTACAAACAGCAGAAGCTCGGGTGCTGACCAGGGGCAAACGAAGCATGTCACTTGTCCTTGAGGTAGCATGGACCTCAAAGTCACTTAGGGCTGTGGAGCAACCACCAGAGGGACAATGAAGGACACACACTAAACAGTATCAGATGCCACATTACATTATAAAATTATAAACATTAGCAGTCATACGTGAATAAAACTTTTGCAGGTGTTCTATAGTCTTCTTCATGGTCCAGGCGATTTTGATTACTGTAAATATATTTGTGATGAAACTACGGCCTTTATGCAAACTGCATTGTGTTTTGCTCAAATGTGTAAGGGTTTTTTTTGTTTGTTTGTTTTTAAAGCTATTTACTTAAATGTTCTGAACCAAAGCAAGAAATTATTTCATTGGGGAGGACTGGGTTAAAGAACATAAAACTCAGGAGATACATTCATGTTGGGAAATCAATTGCTGATATCCAATAGTGTCCAGTAAGCTTCCAGTTGGAAAAGACCCTATCTGTTTGCACACTGCCTGGGAACATGTATGGAGTTGCTGTAATCTTTGTTTGCCAGATTTGGCCAAGTGAGGTGGAACAGAAAGTAATTTTCTGTTCTCATGTCAAGAGAACGAAAGAGAGCAGAGAAGTGATAAGCATGCAGGAAGAGCTGACTTCCAGTCTTTTACGCAACTAACACAAAGCAGTCATGGATAACGGTATGTGTGTGTTTGTGTGTAAAGGGGAAGGATGTGTGAATAAGTTAGGGCTTTCCAAGACATGGAGAGGCCTGAGAGAAAGAATCAAAGTCTAACTTGAAAGCAGAACTGAAGAAAAAAGATTAGTAATATTAACAAATGAAGGCAAGTAAGGCATTAACTAAAATGTGATGTATTAGTCCCTTTTCACAATGCCAAAAATAGACATACCTGAAACTGGGTGGTTTATGAAGGAAAGAGATTTAAATTGACTCAGTTCTGCATGGCTGGGGATGCCTCAAGAAACTTACAATCATGGCAGAAGGGGAAGCAGGCATATCGTTCATGGAGGCAGGAGAGACAGAGTGAAGGAGGAACTGCCAAACACTTACTAAACCGTCAGATCTCGTGAGAACTCACTCACTATCATGAAAGCAGCATATGGAAAACCACCAGGATTACAATTTGAGATGAGTTTTGGGTGGGGACATAGAGCCAAACCATATCATGCAAATCTACATTTGTATTTCCTTAAGTATTGTTCTGGTTTGTAACATTTTTAACAAATATTAAAAATTAAAGATTAGTTTATATTAACGCTTTGCTTTTTTAAGTTACATTTTGAATGAAAAAGAAAAAATATCACTGAAAAAAATTATGTGTATTCATTGTCTATGGAAAGCCAGGGATGAACCAACCCCGCTCCCTTGATTTCTAAATATCAAAAATACACTCAATAACCTCACACTTTTGAAAATCATTGGTCCTTACACCTCTCCCAACTCCAAGTCTGCCAACACACCCTTGTAGTGCTCCCTGCTTCTCTGCCCTACCTGCCCCTCTTCTCCCTCTTCGAACGCTCCGTCTTTTACCTTGCCTTCAGCCTACATTGTCCCTCCTTGCTTTCTCAGAGAATCCTATTTAATCACTCCATCAAATCTGTTCCCTCCTCAGCACCTGGTTAAGGTCCCAGGCCCTCTTCCTAGAACCTAGCAAGAATCTCATTGCACTGGGCCTCCATATTCCAGTCTATCAATTGCCTTCTCCTGGGATTACCTTCTGATATACAGCCCCAACCCCTGAGGCCCTGGAAGACTTTTCATGCTACAGCCTCACTCCCCACTACCCTCAGCCCTGCTCCTGAGCCCTGGCCACATTGGTCTCCCTGTTCCCCTGAACAAGCCTTGTTTTTGCTCAGACCTCTGCCTGAAAAGCCCCTGCTCTTTTTCTGGCATCCTTGCTTCTGCAAACCCTACTCATTGCTTCCTGTGTGAAGCTCTTGGCAGAATTTATCTCTCTGTCCTCTGGGCTACTGTGGTACTTAGTTCTCATACAGTGGGGCGCTTATCACATTGCATTAAGGTTGCTGATGTGTCTGTCTTTACCAACCAGATTATAGGCTCCTTCAGGGCAGGAACCAGGTCTCAGATCTCTCTCCACTAAAAGTACCTAGCAGAGGGGCTGGCAAATGGAAGGTGGTCAAACAATCCTTATTAAGTGAAATGCTATTTCTTCAGGCTCCCCAGCCAGAAATAACCTGGTGACAACTTACTCAAATTGAGGCTCATACAGAGGAAAGAGACTCGTAAGTAGACACACAAAATCTGAGAACCATAACAAAAAATATTCCTCCCCCCAGTTCAATGGAAATTCTGGGAGAAAAATAGATAAGTGAAACCTGGGGGCTGCCCTTTACAGTTTAAAAGCTACAACTTTATAAAATATTATGTATAATCTGATATGTTCATAGAAATCACCATGGTTAGTGTTACAAATTTAAGTATTTTTAAGGTATTGTAAAATGCATAAGGTGAATGAATGCACATACACAGAGGACAATTAAATGCATATTTTTCATGTATAATATTGATCAAAGTATGCTTTATACAAAAAAAAAAAAAAANTGGGGGCTGCCCTTTACAGTTTAAAAGCTACAACTTTATAAAATATTATGTATAATCTGATATGTTCATAGAAATCACCATGGTTAGTGTTACAATATGCTCTAAATCCAGTACTAGTACATCACTATAAGGTGAATGAATGCACATACACAGAGGACAATTAAATGCATATTTTTCATGTATAAAATTGATCAAAGTATGCTTTAAAAAAAAAAAAAAAAAAACCTGAACAAATCACCAGTATAGAGCAAACCCAAGGAATTTTCATCAAGGCAATGAAGCCACATAATCGTTATCCAGAGCAAGAAATGAAACATTCCTGGGCCCCAGAAGTCCCCTGTGTCTCTCTGTCTGTCTGTCTGTCTCTCTATATTTTTTAGATAGAGTCTCACTCTGTTGCCTAGGCTGGAGTGCAGTGGCATGATCACACGGTTCACTGCAACCTTGATCTCCCAGGATCAGGTGATCCTCCCACCACAGCCTCCCAAGTAGCTGGGACTACAGGTGCATGCCACTACACCCAGCTAATTTTGATTTCTGTAGAAATAGATGTTCACCATGTTGCCTGGGCTGGTCTTAAACTCTTGGGCTCAACAATTTGCCCACCTTGGCCTCCCAAAGTGCAGGGATGACAGGCATGAGCCACCGCCCCGGGCCCTTTGTGCCTTTTTCTAGTCACTGCCTTCCTTCTACAGTCATTATCCTGACTTTGAACACTATAGAGCCATTGTGCCTATTCTTACTCTCTGTATAAATGGAACCATAGCTCATGAAATGTTTCCTGTTTGGTTTCCTTTGCTCAACATTATTTTATGAGATGCATCCATATTGCTACAAGCAGCAATAATTCATCCCAAATCTGTAAGTGTGAATGTCTCTAAAATTTTATTACAAATGTAGCCATAAGCTGCTGAACCATAAGGAATTCAATGTTTCTTCATTTTCACCAAGAATTACTTAAAGTAAATCTATCCATATTTTAGTAAGACAAAAATGTGTCATGTTTCTGAACCTTACAAACTCTATGACATCAAGCCATTAACTTTCTCAGTAAACATTTCTAGAAGGAAGGAATAAAAGAAGCAGAATTATAAAGCACTCTTTCAGTAAAAAAGAAAAAGAAAACTAGAAAACTGAGCAGGTGAGGGGAAGACCCCCTGAAATTCTCTGAATACTTTTGTCACGGTCATTTTTGAAATCGGTCTAATTTTCTAAACCCTGTGGGAAAACTTTTTGCACTTTTGGTGCTTCATTTTTGACATTTCACAAACATTTAAAAACTGTAAGTTAGGGAGAAACTTGTTTTTACTCTTTCATGTGTCCTAACCCCAGAATGATGGTTTGCTGAAGTTGGTGAAAAGAAAAAAGAAGGGTTTTGCCACCACATTGTAAAGAACTGATAGGAAGAGTTTCAGACTGAATCTGTAAAACAAATACAGAAGGATTATTTGTGTTCTTTTCCTTTTGAAAGGCTATGTGCAGCACCCAGCAAGCTATGCTTCCGTATTGTTTTATATCATATACATTTATCACACAATGCTACTATCCAACAACACACAGATTCCAAGTTTGCCGAGTCGCCTATGGGCACATACCTTGGGGATTAAAGAAACCAGTCATCCAAAACACATTAGGCCTCCCTTCAAATATCCATGCAGAAAACTGAGCATTTCTTTCCAAAAGTTCAGTGAACCAGAAGCCCAGTGTGGAGGAATCCCAAGACACTCTTTTCCAGAGCTGAGGTATACGAGCATCATACATGTTGTCCAGGGCATCTCTCAGGTTCTGGAGAAGAAAAAGTAAAAACACATGAATAAGAAACATCAACAAAGAAGGAAATGCCTACTGATGTAATAACAGCTCACCTCACTCATAATGATTGTTCCTTCAATGGCCAATTTTAGATCACTCAGGCTACTGCGGAGTATTGAAATGACTCTTTGCATTCTGTCAATTTCTTGTCTAAGAAATATGTTCATTGAATTAAGATGTCCCATCTTTATCAAACGAGATTTCACCTAAAACAAAGTAAACAATGTGATGAAGGAGATTTTATCATCTGTCATTTCTCTTCCAATGACCTCTTCATTCTCATTTTTTTTTCTTCCTCTGGATGTATCTCTACCAACCCAAATGAACTCTAAAATATCTCTTGCAGAACCAAACTTGCCATTAAATTTCCCATTTCCTGGGTTTCAAAAACTACTGTTCAACTAAAGTGATTTTTATTTCCTACTGATTGTACTCAGCTGATAACTGAAAATGTACTTTAAAGAGCTGAAATAAAATTGTACCTTTTTTCCCTTTCACATGATTAAGTAATGGGTGTCAGTTAGATATTCTTTTTGCAATTTAACCTCCATAGGAATATAGTGGAATTTTTTCTTCATTATGCTTGCAGAGTTAATAGAAATGTCACAGAAAGTTAATATAGCAAAAATCTTCACAGAGCAGTTACCAATATATAGGATTAGCTAGAGTTTCCAAAGATCATTGTTGCCTTAGCTATGACGGCTAAAGAGAGAGTTTCCCAATCGAATCAATGAGAATATTTGATTTTGTGGAAAAGCCAGTTAAATACCTGTCATTTTTTCCTTTTGATGTAGCACTTATTGACCATTTTGAAGAGATCAATACAAAAGCCTCTGGTTGTGGGAACTATAAAATACAACGATTATTGGAAAACAAGCCAATACCATATACGCATTTCAATTTGGTGACATATGCCCAAGAAAAGGTTGACTGCAAATACTGGCAGGAACTCATAAAGGGATTTGAACTTTCTGCTGGCCACAATCAAAGAGATGCCGGAATTGAAGGAACAAGGATGTATCAGACACGTGGAGTGGGAGAGAACTTCAAGTGAGGTATCAACCCAAAGGATCACAGGAGGCCAGGAACTGCAGGATTCTCTGCCAGAGATGCCCACTGCCCCCTCGTAAGGCCTGGAATGTTAGAGACAGATGGGCTTCAGAGTCATTTGAATCGTCCTCCACCTTTTATAGAACAGGCCTCTAGCATGGTGCAGAAGTTTCCTTCCAGCAAGGGACACCTATGTTTACTGCAATTGGGTTGTTTCTAGTGAGCAAGAGGGGAAGAGGGAAAACACAAAAAGGAAGGAGATATAACACTGAGCTCAGATACAAAATAAGCGGCCTGAATAGGACTACCTACACAGTCAAGTGTGCCAGTGGAGGTCCCTAACCCAGTCTGTAGCAACCTTCAGCTACTCTCCCGAATGCTTGGTTCTAGAGCCTACATTTTTGCAGTTTCTAGTACCTTGTTCTCATCTGCATCCCAAGTCCTTCAACCTCCAGTGGCTGAATAGCATATATATATATTTATACACACACACACACACACACACACACACCAATCCATCTCAAGAGTGGAAATTCACTCTTACGGAAAAGGAAAATTATAGAAATACTTTCACAATCCCATGAGTAGAAAATAAAGCGCGGGCATTGACTACAATATCAATTCAATAGCCCAGGTATCTCTAGTATATTAATAGTTTCAAACAAATCCCCTTGACCTGCTTAGAGTTTTAAAAGGAAAACTTTGAGATGGAAACATGCTTAGGAAAACCTTAAACCCTAGAAAACGTAATTCTAAACCTGATTTCGAGTATAATTATTGCTCCAGCCTAAAATTGTCTTTTTGTTAATAAAATGAAGTATTTTATTAATAAAGTATTTTATTAATAAAAGACTTGCTATAGTCTTATATAGCATTTTCATTATGTTTCTGGGGCCAGGTAGTTTTTTCTACAATAATGTAGCTGCATTTTTACTATAGAAGTCAATGGTATAATTATATTTTGATTTACAAAATTCGCTTTACAGCCACACATTCAAGAGCAGATCTCTTTATAAAATAAGACACTAAAAAGTAAGTGATTTTGAAACAGCAAGTTTTAGATGTTTCTTAGTGCAAACTCTTTCCCATATAGGAATACATTTAATTACATCCCTGATGCTCAGTTTCTGCTGAAGTAATTGCCAAGACAGAGGTCTTGTTGGTGAAGTGGCCCCAACCAAGACTGGACAGCCCAAATTATCACAAGGTCTTAAACCTTTTCCCTGGCAACAGCAGCCCTGTAGTATAGTCACAAAGAGTAAGTTTTACCTCACCTTCGCATGCCAGTATTAAAAATCTTTGAAGGCAAGTATGCTGCCTTGTTTTTTTTTTTAAGATCATATCAATTAAACTATTGAAAGTATATACTTACAGTATTTATCCATTTAAAAATAATTTTCTTGCCTGAGTGCAGTGGCTCACACCTGTAATCCCAGCACTTTGGGAGGCCAAAGCAGCAGGATCACGAGGTCAAGAGTTCAAGACCATCTTGGCCAATGTGGTGAAACCCCATCTCTACTAAAAATAAAAATAAAAAATAGCTGGGTGTGGTGGCATGCACCTGTAATCTCAGCTTCTCGGGAGGCTGAGGCAGGAAAATCACTTGAACCTGGGAGGCAGAGGTTGAAGTGAGCCAATAAGTGCTCTGGGCGACAGAGCGAGACTCTGTCTGGAAGAAAAAAAAAATTCTCCCCTTACTATAACTATCCCTACAAGAAGTTATTTATTTCAATATATTAACCAAAGGTCTTGGTACCTATCTACACAATGGAAACAAGAATTATTTTAAGAGGCAACAAAACACTTTTTATTGTTGGGACACTTGTTGCATGCTAAAACTAGTTAAGACTGCAGGTTCTAGAGTCAGATCACTTTGTGTTCAAATTCTTGCTCTGCAACTTAGTTTGGTTTCTGCTGGTGCTGTCCTGGGCACTGAGTGTCATAATGTGTATGGAGCACTTAGGACAGGGCCTGGCTTGTAATGAGTGCTCAAAAACACAGCTACTGTCCCATGTGACCCCATTCTAATGAATGAATAAGTGTGGTTCTTAGAAAGCTTCAGATTGGTAATGGGGTGCTTATATGAATAATAATCTCTCCAATAGGTATAATTGTTATACCCTATTCAATGAGTTTCAGAAGTGATTAAAAATCAATGGAGTAAATGGGGGGGGGTCATCTACCTACAGTTAAAACACTTGGAACATCATAAAGAATACCAAATCACCAACACCGTCGCTTTTTGGCCACAAAGATTTCATTGTTTTTTTAGCACAGTTTAAGGCATCGTAGAAGTTCATATATAACTGGGTCACTGGGAAAACTTTGATTGAGGAGGAATTAACTTGTGAAGGAATTTTTAAAGGAATGCAACAAAAACACATCATGGAAAATGTTTTCTTCTGATGTTTTGAGAGAGAAATAGGTTATGTGAACAATGAGAGATGCAGAGGTTGGTAATATAGTCAAAATTTATCACACAGGTAATCTACCACATAGTCACTAACAGGTAGATTCTTGCTTTTCATGGTAATCAGACTTATTGTTTAAATGTACAAATAACCCTGCACACCAGTGGGAAAGCAGCAAGGCTTACCTCATGAGGAACATAATCAGGAGGCAGTTTACTCAGCATATCTTCAGATAATCTATAAACAATGGCTTCCCGGGTTTCTCCCACACCACCTCCACTCTCTTTGGGTTGAATGTTGGTAATTGTTTCAAGAACAGCAGAAGCAGTGTTACTCTGAAACCTAGCAAAAAGAGTGAACTGTTCAGAATGTAACAGGAAAATACATAAAAGATAATTGTCAAAGCTAAAATGAACTAATAGAATCACTTAAATCAAAGCAAGCTACAAAAACAAAAAAAGGGGGGAGAAGAAAAGTTAACTACCATTAACCTAGAGGAATGAAAAAAACTAGAGATCCATTCTGCTGCCTCCTAATAGGACATCAAGAACATCAGTGAAATGAAACACTCTCCATCTTCAAGGAAAGAGACCCCAAAACATCCCTGGCTATCCAAATCACTGCTTCACCATCTTGGTTGTAGCTAACCTAACCACCTCATGCTGAACAATGAGCACATCTCCTTTCATTCTTCCCTGCTATAGACTGGTCATGAGAGTCTATCATTATAGGACAGTTTGTTGGCTCAAAGAGGACCACTCAGATTTCCTCGTGGTGTTATCAACTATTAAAAGTTTTTGGTCTTTTCTGTTTTGTTTTCTCATTTTTCTACTGGTTTTATGATTTCCAGGGAAATCTACTGGCATGCATCAGCTCCACTTGTTCAAATGCAGCCATGCATCTTTAAATCCATTTATTCAATAAAGATTTACTATGTACCTGGCACTGAACTAAGTTCTAGAATATGGCAGGAAAGAGACATCATTCTGTTTTCTAGTGAAGAAAATAAATATTTGACAATCCTATTCTAGTAAGTGCTGTGGAAGAAAATAACAGGATGCTTTCATACAGTTTCGATTCTCTCATTCTCACTGTCTAGCTTGCTTTCAGGTTGACCAGATACTCTGAGATGCATGACTTAGTCTCGGTCCCTGAGATGCTGGGTTGACCAGTTATCTGGACGTTTGGGTAGGAATGCATGTGTGTGTACGGGAGCGGGGGTGGTGTGTGTGAGTGTGTGTGTGTGTGTGTTGGAGGAAATTCACACTAGAAGATCAGTGAAAGTTAAAAAGTCACATGTAAGCCGAGACCAGAAGGAGGAACAGGTCAGCCAGGAAGTAGGGTGTGTTGGGAGGCAGAGAAGGACATTCGGATAAGAAGTAAGGGTAGGGGTGAAAAGGATTTCAGTGTATTTGAGGAAGAGAAATAAGGCCATTGAGATTGGAGCCAGTGAGTTAGGAGGAGTGATGAGGATGGAGAAGAAGCAGGGGCCAGACCATGCAAAGTTATATGGGAATTTGTAGGATTCTGAACACCACCCTAAAGGCAATGGGCAGCCACTGAAGATTTCCCTAACCAGGTGTGACATAGTCAGATTTAAAATTTTCAGCCTTTTCTGAACTCCTAATTTACCAACTATAAACGTCACATAATTTTATTTTGGAGGGTTTTTGTTTTGTTTGCTAATTTTTGTCTCTTGTCTAGATGTCAACCACATTCATATTTCCTTTTGTAGATGTGAGAGGCAAATCTAAAAGGGATTCAGAAAATACTTGAAATTAATGACTTGTTTTTCTGTTTTATTTTCTTGAACAGAAAACAAGCCATTGCAATATGGAAATATATATCCGAATTTCATACTTGCATACCTTTTAATGTAGCAATTCTATACCTAAGAATTCATCCTTAAAAAGAATGAGACATTTGACATTTCCATTTCTGATAGTATGGTGCAAATGTGACTGTGAACCACCCTTCTGAAACAACTAAAAATTCTGGAGGAGATATGAAAAACATCCTTTTAAAAACATCACTGAAGTGGCAAGACAATAAAAAAAAATCCTCAGGGTCAAATAAAATACAAAGTGAATGCTGGAATCCAGAGACATAAAGCCAGATTTTACCCTGGGGTATTCAACTAACTCTGGTGTTTTTGAGTTTCTGTTTAGATAGTACAATGAGACAGGGGAGAAGCCCTCATACCTGAGGTAGAAAATATAACAGAAAATTCCTACATAAATCTGGAACCCCACAGGGCTACAACCTCAGTATAAGGGTAAACTAGAAAGTAACCTCCACCTGTCAGAAGAATAGGATAGGTAACTTGTTCTATGTAGTTTGGCACTAGGTGGGGAGAAACTCTTTTCTGAAAATTCTTAATTCACCATGTTTGTGACATTAGTTAACATTTATTCATATTACTTGTGCAATTTGGAAATGCTCAATCCAATAATTTATTTTAAGATGGTCCCAAGAAGTCTTAGGTGGCACCTGATGGAACTAAATGCAACTCTTCCCTTGAACCATATACCTTTGACTCAGGTCTCAAATAAGCCAACAGTTAATTTCCAATAGACATAAGTTCAAAGCCAAAAGTTAAAAACATTATAAGGAAATGAGACACTGTGAGAAAAAGCCAGAAGAAACAACAGAAAGCAGACTCAGACCTGTAGAGATCTTAGTGACTTTTCAGATGCGTATTACAAAGTACTGTATTTGTGATATTGAAGAGTTTTAGAAGGGGACTGAAAATATAAGTATTAAAGAAGAAACTATAAACATGAATAGCATATTTGAAAAAGAGCCAAAAAGGAGCTGGGCGCGGTGGCTCAAGCCTGTAATCCCAGCACTTTGGGAGGCCGAGGCGGGTGGATCACGAGGTCAAGAGATTGAGACCATCCTGGTCAACATGGTGAAACCCCCTCTCTACTAAAAATACAAAAAATTAGCTGGGCATGGTGGCGCGTGCCTGTAATCCCAGCTACTCAGGAGGCTGAGGCAGGAGGATTGCCTGAACCCAGGAGGCGGAGGT